CTTCAAGTGGTATCAGAGCTTTTCAAATATTTGAAAAATGTCCCAATGACATGTTTAGACAAGAGATTCTTGTTCGTAATATTATCTATTGTTGCCGTGCACTGTGTACCAAAAGTGTTTTAAAGATAAACGATGGCAACACGGATAAGTGAAGAAATGGAGGAGAGTCGGACACAGTAGCTGAGAAGATAGTGACATGGGAATAGATGAATGAACGAGGCCGAGGCAAAATCACTATATTCAGCCCCACTTGTAAAAAGAAAGAAAGCTGCACTAAAATCCCACTTCTACTTTAGATCAGTGATCTTTCTTTGTCGAGCATATGCATATAGAACAACACTAAGGAAACATATCACAAAAGCATTGTTCCCTCTCAGCCTCAGGTGCGCTTTCCCTTTATAAAGTTTTTGCTTTGCATTTCATCCTCCTCGTTATGATACCTACTTCATGGAGTTTTTAACCTTTCATTTCATCTGTACCTTTATCTAAAGCTACAACACCAATAAGAAAGTTCAAAAATTTTGAGTCCATTACTGGTCAAAAGATAAAATGATACCTCCATGTGATAGTATCTTGCCTTACCTTAGCAAATATGGAATTACATCTCTTGTAGACGCGTACACCGCGTGTTTATTGATAAATACTAATAAAGGTTAAAAATATCTAATCTCGATTGCAATTGAGAGCCTTCGAGGAGCGGATTGGATTGGAAAAAAGGCATAACACCATTAATTGTTTCATCCTACCATCTCTAAGTATTAATTATGCAAAATAGATTCCTCCACTAAGAGATTAATTAACCTAATAAAAAGTGCATGATCCACCTAATGGCAAAGGGACATCACTAGAGTTTATGCTGATAGGTCCATGGATTAGCTAGCTACTTACTCATTCATTGTTTAAGATACCTTTTTAATACTTAAAACATCATTTCAAGCTTCACCTCTCTTTTAGTATAATACGCATATTTTAACTCTATTATTGATTTTTTAATGCTATATACTTCGTTGAAATAAATAGCATGGTTGATAGAGATTCGGTACATTGAATTAGATACAGTGAAATCTCATGACTAACACGTTTTTGTTTTTGTATGTCTATTACTTTATATATTTAATGTTTTCAATTTAACGTACTACAGAGTAAGATATTTAACATAAGTCTACTAAACAATTTTGTTGATGTCAAATAATGAAGAGTGCTCTTTGATCTACTTTTATGGATTTGAACTAAATGAGAATGCTATATTTCTGAAATTTTACAATTGTACGATGAAAATATCAATTTAGAAACCCCTTCATCCTTTGTATAGGCAGGTTGTCTAAAACTAACTGTCATAGTCATGTCAAACGACGACGTTCCTACTTAAAACCTTTTATGACTGTCCGTTGGTGGAATTCGAATGGTTGGTGAGATCGACTGTGGGTGGGGTCACAATGACAATTAAAACTTAGGTCTGTGCCCTAAGTCCTCTTTTTACTCTCTTGATTGGTTAGTCTTTGATGATGTTATCAATAATGAGGACATTTTTTCGGCAATTGAGCTGGGTGTACAGGTCCAGCTCTTACAGACCCTATATAAGGGTCTCACATGGATGGGGTCGTTTTTTTTTTCTTTTTTCTTTTTTTTTTTTGCCATTTTCTATTGCACCGGGCCCCAACCCCATGTGAGGGGTCTGTAATTCGCCTGATAATATTTCCTCTGTACATAGGGATTTAATCTTTCTCATGTAACTTAACTTCTACTTCTATCATTGGGTATTGGCCCAAGGCGACAAGTAGATCCGTCTAAATTCCTGGATAAATAGGCTTCTTTGACGCGGTCAAAGGGAGCACAAACTCATCCGTCGTATCGACAACAAGAAGTTTGAAGACATGATGAAGAAAATGAACTTTGAGTAAAATTAAAGATTATTGAAAGGTTCTGTATACTAGTGTTATGCGTTGGAAGACAAAGGAACATGATAGGTTGCTCCCTTGATTCCGATAACTTATGAGTAAAAAATGATGCTTCATTAGATGAGAATTTAACACTTATTAATGATGCTTTTCAATAATACCTGATCTATTGCCTCAAAAAGATTCATGGATTTGCTAACTTTTGGGGATTGGTGCAGCTCATTTCTTTCTTAGGGTGGAAAAGCACTTAATATTATTCTTTAATTTTGAGTTGGAAAAAAATTTCTTTACTGGTCCCCATATATTTTTCGAGTAGCAAATTGGTCTCTAATCTTTAAAAAGGAGTGAGACGGTATCTACCTCAAATATTGCAATATCTATCCTTAACGATGAAACTATCGAAGCATTTTCTAAATTCGAAGGCATGACCCTCGCGTTTCAACATGTTTACGTAATGTTCATGAGGCGAATTAATAAAATTTTTGGACGTTTTTGTGCTTCGAGATTGGTGATGTAACTATAATTAATAATTGAGGATCAAGTTGCTACTCGAACAATAGGTTGATAACCCATACTCCAGATTTTCGTTTCGAGTTGTATATTAAATTAATATTCCTCAATTGGATCCAACAGCAACATCTGGAAAACACATGGAAAGTCGTCTCAATATTTTTGAATTGTCTCTTTATTCAACTAAAGAGGAAATTGTTCTTACTTGAAATTATGTTGTTTTTAATTATTCCACTATGGAATCCTATCATGTGCATGTTTCCCCCAAAGCAGATGCTCACACATGCAAATATTTTCTCTCACATTGTCACATTTTAATGCTATAGCCTATAACCACTAGAATGTGAATTCAAATCGTGACCATATGATATCCTTTAACCGCTTGTTTGATATAGATTAAAATAATTTTTTAATAATTTTTAGTAAAAATTGATGAATTCATCAAATTTTAATTTACACCAAACACTGACTAAGTACAAGATTCATCATCTTCCAAACGTTAATCCAACTATAACACATTAGTTTATCGTTCTCCGTTCAATACATTAGTCTTAAATGAATATCAACGTTGTGAATTGTCCTCAATGATGATAAAGATTGAGTTTGAGATAACGATCATAATAAGTAATAATGATGACATATTGTTGAGTCCATGTATTGAAATTAGTTAAACCAAAAAGAATAGGAAGTGGACAACCATAATAATATAAAGGCAAATTGTTTAACTCTCGTATTGATAACTAGTCAAACTAAAAAGATATCAAAGATAAAAGAGACTTAACTCTCTCCAATGAACCTTATTCTTTTCGCCGTATTGAATGAAATAAGCCATGGATGAAGAGAAAACTATCATCAACCATAGAAAAGCGGATGAATTGAGTTTGTCGTGATGATACTTTTCTTCGTAGCAATAAACCGTTAAACACTAAGTAATTGAAGTAAATATGATAAAATTAATTAAGGAAGAGAGGCTGGTAAGATTTTTCTTTTCTTTTTTCCGTGTTTGATTTTATCAAATTCAATACAACAAGCGTTAAATTGACCAAACTCGTTTTACCGAAGCATGGCACGCTTCGTACCATGAATTTGTCCCTTGGAGAGGTGAGTGACACGCTAGATTTTTTTACCATATTTTTTTGACTGAAATTAATTTTTCACTTATTTATGATGAGTTGGCTGGTACATGAGTCGATAAGCTCGCAATCCAACTTGATGAGCAACTCACGATAAAATTAACGAGTCAAGCTGACGAGCCGGCAAAAGCCTTGCTCCATTTAACCCCCACAATTCAAGATGGGTGGATATAACAAATAAAGCACAGTTAACTGCAAAGAATCTGATTGTCAACTGCAACCACTACAAGTTATGGGGTTACGGATCAACCGCACCCGACAAGCCCCCAACCGTAGAGAATGGCTATTGTTTATGATTCTTCCTCTCTCTTGATCTGGCACGTTTTGTGATTCCCGATGGCCCCCAACGCCTCAGATCTAATTTAACGAGTTAATTATTCCAATGGTCACTGAACTTATATTTATGTCTTTGATTGGTCATTAAAGTTTAAAATGTCGCATTTTGATCATTAAACTTAGGTCTATATCTTTAATTGTGCACTGAAGTCTGAAGTTTAAAATGTCAAATTTTGACACTAACGTTTGAAAAATATTGTACATTACTCACTATAAATTCAACATTTTCTAAAACTCAACATTTATGTTAGTGAATAACGTACAACATTTTTCAAAGTTAAGTGACCAAAATTTGACATTTTAAATTTTAGTCAGCAGTTGAAAATAAGGACCTAAATTCAGTGATCAAAACTCGACATTTTAAATTTCAGCGATCAATAAAAAATATTAACCTAAGTTGAGTGATTATGGAAACAATTAATTCCAATTTAATTCAATTTCCCCCGTCACCCACGGCGCAAGCTAGTCATACCCCTTTAAATCAACCCACCCAAATCACGAATTCCCCAAGATACCCATATCAATTATGATACAACGCGGCGTAATTAAAAAGGGTCTACATGGCTATCATAGTAATTTGCTTCTGGAAAAGGATTAATAGTCCCGTTTGGGACCTATTCTCCTCTTCATTCTTTTTCTTCTCTAATTTTCAATCACACAATCTCTCATAAAATAATATTATACGTAAATAAAAAAATTTTATTTATTTTTAATAACACATTTTTTATAAAAATACTATTTTAACCATTGAAATTTGAAAAGAATGGGACTATATATAGCCGTGGCATCACTTCGATCAACTTTAGTTGCAAAGAGCACTTACCAGTGGGCAGTGGTAATAAAGAGAGAGATTACAGAAAACTCCCGCCGGCATCTAAAGCCTACTGGCTCCGGCCAGTCTGATATAAAATAAAAAGTAGTCAATTGATCTTTCTTCGGAAAAAAGGCGCCGTAAAGTTTTAACCGGAGCTGGGAAAAGTAGTACTTCGCATGATGGGATTTTGCATCTGTCCATTGGAGACTCCGGCGAGGTTACTCTGGAGCACTAGCTTCTTCCGCCACAAGATCATGCTATTCTAGATTTTTTGTTAGAATCCAACCGCTTATTATTAAGTAAATTTTCTTGTTTTTTGCCGGAAAAGAATATATACACGGTTCTCTCGTGTGTATATACACACACATATATATATTGATAACTGTGTATTTGATCTCCGGAGGTCCGACAAAAGAAATGGAATCCGGTCGTATTTTCTTTGACCCCTCGTACCATGGCAACATGTTATTTATTGGCAACGGCGAGTCTGTTTATCGAGGTAGTCTCTTTGAATCCTTGTTATACTAATGGTAGCTAACAGAATTGTACGACCTTAGATTTATATACTTCGGATAAAGTAATCAGATAATTGTTATTTTTTCAATAATTAATGTTATAGGAGCAAGATCGGCGATGAACATGGAGGAAACCTCGAAGAGGCGACCTTTTTTCAGCTCGCCGGAAGATTTGTATGATGAAGAATATTATGACGAGCAGTTACCGGAGAAGAAGCGCCGTCTCACTCCTGAGCAGGTCGAACTTTACTTTATTGTAATCCTTTTTAAAATTTTAAAATATTTTACAAACAATTTTTTGCATGGTATTTGACAAATTAGCTGGGGAATTTGATTCGCTGTAAACCCATAATCTGATGCATAAATGATGACAAAGTGATTTAATTTTGTTGCACTGGTATGGAATTACTCTTTTTCAATTGGTGGGGTGGGTTGATTTAGGTGCACTTGCTCGAGAAAAGCTTTGAAACGGAGAACAAGCTGGAGCCAGATCGCAAAACTCAGCTGGCTAAGAAGCTAGGTCTGCAGCCGCGGCAGGTGGCGGTGTGGTTCCAGAACCGCCGTGCACGATGGAAGACCAAACAGCTCGAAAGGGATTATGATCAACTCAAGTCCTCATATGATTCTCTAGCGTCCAATTATGACTCCATTCTCAAAGATAATGAGAAACTGAAAGCTGAGGTAAAATCAAATATTGATGGAAACTTTTGTGATTTTTTCTTTATTTTTTGCCGGGTTACATTGGGTGGCTCTTCTGAATTGAAGAATCACATAGAAATTTTTTAATTGGCCGTGTCATTTAAAATACGTATAATTATCGTTTTAAAATTGTCGCAAGCTTGACCATTGTTACAAGGTCACTCGATAGCAACTCTGAAAATGAGTTTGTTATCTTTCGCTCTCTGTGCTCACACGCGTGTACATACATACATACAAATATATATATATATACACACACACACATACATGATATGGACCCGGACCTCTTGGACTGGGTCCATAGCCAAATATTCGTCCTGAGCCATAAAAATTACATATCTGTCAAGCTCAGCAATTTTTATTCTTGCATCAGTCAAATAAGATAGAATCTGTTCTAAACCCCACCAGCTAAAAAGAAATGATTTGAACTATGAAAAACGAATAGATCTCCATAGATGACAAAATTGTTTTATACATTGATGAATCAAGAATATTGCACTATTGGCTGGTCCCCAACCTATTTTCCGAGTTGCAACTATTAGTTTTATAGCATCGTTTGATCCTTAAAAAGTTTGTTATATTTTAAGGATTATACCCTTAAGAAATAACAGTCTTATCGTGTATTGGGCATGCATGTAGGTTCTTTCCTTGACAGAGATGCTGCAAGGAAAAGAGACTGCAGGAGAGAAAGAGAATCCACTCCCGGTGGATGCTCCGGCCGATACCACCCCTGTCCAACTCATTGTGAAGGTGGAGGACCGCCTCAGCAGCGGTAGTGACGGAAGTTCAGTGGTCGATGATCAGGAAGGTCCACAGCTAGTGGACAGTGGGGATTCCTATTTTCCGAACAATTATTACATGGGTTGTGTGGCTGCAGGGGTGGTGGAGGGTATTCAATCTGAGGAGGAGGACGGCAGTGACGATGGCGGCAGCTATTTCTCGAATGTGTTACTGGCGGCGGAAGGGCAGCAGCTGGAGGGGGAGGGTGAGCCACTGGGCTGGTATATTTGGTCAACATTAGATAATTAGTAATAAATATTTGCTATGTCGAGTGTTTTCATGTTTCTGCGTATAATCTGGGACTAAACCTTGTATCATAAACTTCCTATGTAGTTGCCCCATGAGATGGAAGTGTAAAACTTGAGAATATTCTATAATTGGCAATTATATGGAAAATGAATAAGAAAAATTCAAAGTTGTTTTGAGGTGTAGATGCATAAAGGCTTTGACCTGATTTGCATTTTTTGGTAAGCCGTATTAAGTGTTCATAAAAAATATAAGATTTTGGTTACTCTGACTTTTAATATAACAGTAGAGTCCATTAAACTCAAACGATGAATTATATTTGTTCGACTCAAATGAGTACATGATTTTCAAGATTCATATGTTCAAACGGGCAATTATCTTACTAGGTATGTTAAGAAACAAATTTCATCTCGGTTAAATGTTATATAAAGGGTTGGACTACTATTTTAATGAGATGAAGTTTTTAAATGGAATTTTAAATTTTAATATCGTATCAGAATCCATAAGCTCGAACGAGTAATTCAATTTGATTAAAACTCGAATGAGCAGGGGAGGGTGAGCCACTGGGCTGGTATATTTGGTCAACATTAGATAATTAGTAATAAATATTTGCTATGTCGAGTGTTTTCATGGTTCTGCTTATAATCTGGGACTAAGCCTTGTATCATAAACTTCCTATGTAGTTGCCCCATGAGATGGAAGTGTAAAACTTGAGAATATTCTATAATTGGCAATTATATGGAAAATGAATAAGAAAAATTCAAAGTTGTTTTGAGGTGCAGATGCATAGAGGCTTTGAATGGAATTTTAAATTTTAATATCGTATCAGAATTCGTAAGCTCGAACGAGTAATTCAATTTGATTAAAACTCGAATGAGCGCATGATTTCTAAGATTAATTTGTTTAAACGAGTAATCATTTTGTAAGACATGTTAAGAGATAAATTTTACATCGATTGAATAGTAAAATTTTAAAATTTAAACCAATATAAAAAGACTAAAAGATTATTTATCGCAGTAAAATTGACCTTTTAAGATGAAACATTGAGTTATAATTTTACAATTTATGTTTTATAAGCAATGTTGGTCTTGAAGCAAATATTATAATTTTACTATGCAATTAATCCACTAATGTTTGTGGCCAATATTGAATTATTGAAGTCTTAAAGGATCAACTATCATAAAATATATGTGACGTGTGTGCGTGTGTGTGTATATATATATATTGTCCAACAAGTAACACCAAACTCACCGCCCAACTATAAAAAATATTAATTTTGATTTGAGATATACATTTTTTGCTTACATCTCCGGAAAGTGATTGAAATTGAAAGGAGGAGTGATTTTGAACCTCATCGCACCTGATGAGTGAACTTCCTGTTTAGTCACCACTCACCAACCACGAACTTGTACATCAAAATATTGTAAAACAATTCAATGGACTAGATGAAGTTGACTTTAAAACATATAAGAAGCTAGTTTCTATATTATAATAATAATAATAATAATAATAATAATAATAATAATAATAATAATCTTTTTAAAATGAATCGATTGATTACTGTTAATTAGATTTGAACTTTGTTTGGAAAGAACTTAAAAACGATTTAATTTATAAATAGATAGCAAATTCGTCCCTAATTTTGAAAAAGGAACAAGATAGTATCCATTTTTTTGAACTTTCAAATCTTTTTTATTGATTGTGTGATCCGCTTGTCTAGCTTTACCAAGCTAGGTTGCTTCTCAACTTGGCTAGTGTTGGTGTACGATCTCAAGAGGCACATCGGATATATTATGAACCTTAAAGTGATTAAAAAGCTTAATTACTAAAATTCCATGCCTATGAGATGAGGTCAAACCACAAGATTCAATTAATTAAATGGTTAATGTCGTAATCATCTGAAAACACCAAGATTTATCTGAATGAATGTTCCAATATGACACGAACAACTCCCACAACAATCAAAAAATTAATATTTCGAAATACATTATTTTCAAAATCTCATTATAATGTAGCCAAACAATGGCTAAATTTTTATCAAAGTAAAAGTTAACAATTAATTTTAATAACACATTTCATGGAACCCACAACTTTTCAATCACACATTTCATACCTTTTATCAAAATTTGTTAAAAATTTGATTTCAATTTCTACCAAACAATGACTAAATTTCTCCTAAATTGATCTATAAGTATCACATCAATTTTAGTTGTCAACATCTAGTGTCCAAAACTTACGAGTGAATCATATATTAATGAGGGTTACATTACAATTTAATGGATATTTGAACAATTTTTTCACCGGAGACTGATTATGAAACTATTATTAAAAATCAATGACCAACTTGCTAGTGTAACAATAAGTTAAGGACCAATAGTCGGAATCTACTTTAAATTATTTTTTTCTAATTAATTAATAAGTAATACTATTTATCATTATGATGATGGAATATCGATAATATGACAAGCCATTATTCCTCACATTACTTTTTTTTTGAGATCACGTACTCTTCTCCCTCTCTTATAAAAATTGAACAGTCCATTTTCATTATTCCACATAAATTGTCACATAATCGTTGTTCCGTCATTATAATGATGAATTGCATTATTTTTAATTAATAGGCTCCTAATTGTTGATTTGAACAGTATATAGGGTCATATTCAAAATTGATGTAACATCAATTCAAACTAGCTTTCCCTGTGTTGAAGCGTCAGTTCAAAATTTGAAGCCTCAACTTTCAATTATTCCCGTTAATCTCTTTAAAATCCATTTAAACCCAAGTTAACCCGGTACTCTGTAGGGATAGTTTTGACTTTTTGACGCGAAAACCAGGGGTAATTACGGAAGTAAATAATCGCAAAAATCATGTTAATTACCCGAACCTGCCGGCCCGGGTCGGGCATTAAAATACGCCGTCTCTTTTTACTGCCGGTTGTGAAAAATCTCTCACACGAATAACACGATAGAATAATCTCTCTCTCTCACACACCCTCACTGATTTCCATATTTTTAGTATTTTTACAAATCTGCTGATCAATTTGTCTGCCATTTTACCGTCGCTGCTTCATCAATCTAGGTAATCTCTCTGTATATGCATATTTATGTACGTATATAGAACAATGTGTATATTCAAGTGATTTTTGAAGGCATTGAACTTTGAATCTGTTTTAGGATTAAGCGATTTATGATTGGAATTCATAGTTTGAAGTTACGGTAGTAATTAATGCGTTCATGTGAAGTGAGATCTTTTACTCGATTTGTTTTTTAAATTTCTTTGTTGTAGTTGGTTGTAGTGATTGCGGAGTGGCTGATCTTCTCGGTTATTGGCATTGATCGATATGGACTTTTTTAAGTTTGTCTTTTTCTTTTTTATGATTTAGTTGGAATTTTTGGTTTATGGTGTTATTGAGTGATTGGCGTACATTGATTTTAGTGATTTACTCTGCGTTGTGTATTGATGAAAAATAAATGAATAAGTAGTAAGTAGATTTATTTGGTAAGTTTTTTGAGAAAATTGGAGTCAATATTTGGTTTTCTTTTAATGGAGATTGTTTTTCCCCACGGCATTGATATGACTATCATTTCTTATTTGTTTGACTGTGTTTGCTACATCCTTGGCATAGACCGTCACATATTGCTGTGCTGTTCTGGAAAGTTGGGGAAATGATATTGCTGTAGTGTCTACTGTCTAGATGGTAAAATCAACGATCTAAAAGAAAGTTGAGAAATAGTTTCTGTTGTTCATGTTCATGGAAAAACCACAAAGGAATTTTTTCTTAAATTGAACTGATCATTTTAAATAAATAATTTTAGTGACCACACAGTGAGGATGAGCGTTTGATGTTGAGATACTCTTGAGTTTGATCTTTCTTGAACAATCTTACTTATAAGATTCTCGAGTTCAGTGGAATGGTAGTCCGAGTTTGATCTGCCAAAAAAGAGATGTTAATGTATAAAATGATTAGCTATTTAGATGGGAATATATAATCAACTTTAAATTCTTTTTTGTCAGGTATCTGCTATACATAATGTCAGAGACCACTCTCAGAGATTTCAATACAATACCTGAATCTGAGAGGAATGATGGAAGCTCTGGTAATGGAAACTTGATGAAGCCTCAAGTTGAGCACTTGGATGAAAACATTGAAGAAAATCAGAAGACAAAGACAGCCTCCTTACTTGTAACTGGCATTAAGAAAGATGGAACAGAGAATAATGGAGTAGAGGTGGGGAATTCAGAAGTGGAATACATTGAATCTGAGAATTTGAATACCATAGAAGACGTAGAGAACATTCTGAAGGTAGGAATGCTTTCTTCCTAGCATCTTCCCTTGATGCTTGTTACAAGTTCCTTGAATGTCGTTCTACATGATAACATTTATACTAGCACATAGCGGAAGAATAACCAACATACTTCTCTCTCGGTTTTGGTTTTTAGACACTCCTATCCAGACTAGACTCCAGAGACTGGGTTTCAGTGTGTGAGGCACTTAACGACGTACGTAGATTATCTATATTTCACAAGGAAGCAATTGTTGGCATTTTGTAAGTGTCATCTTTTATTTGGTTCTTTGATTGGCAAAACATATGCAGTGCCATTTAGAACTACATTTTGAGAATTTTCAAATCCTCGACTTTTGCATCTTGATGCAGGAATGATGTGATGCCTTTAGTAGTGAAATCACTCAAAAATCCAAGAAGCGCTGTTTGTAAAACTGCAATTATGACTTCTGCTGACATTTTCAAAGCATACAGTGATGACATTGTCAATTCCCTGGATCCGTTGGTAATTCATTTTCTTCCAAATTGAGATAATGTGTATAATTCTCTATATGCTTTTGTATGGCCTCTATCCCCTAATGGATTCTCACTCTATATTCTTTACCTGCAACATTGTTATTCTCTGTTTAGCTTGTACAACTTCTTCTGAAATCTTCACAAGACAAAAGGTTTGTATGCGAGGCAGCTGAGAGTGCTTTGAAAGCTTTGACAACTTGGGTTTCTCCTGTTCTATTGTTGCCCAAGCTGGAACCTTATATCAAGAACAGAAATCCTCGAATCCGGGCTAAGGCTTCTATGTGCATTTGTCGAAGTGTCCCACGGTTGGTAAGGACTCATTTTTGCCAAGTGTTACTTGGTTAATTGCTTTTATTCGATGTTTCTTCTGAAACGACATCTGAGATCAGTAGTTGCCAAGAAAAGACCAGTCTTTCTTAGTTATGGATGTCAAATCTTATTATGATAAATGACCTTGTGTTTATGTCACCTGCTTTGCAGGGAGTTGATGGGATCGAAGCCTTTGGGATTGACAAATTGATCCAGATAGGTGCATCCCAGCTTAGTGACCGGCTTCCTGAGTCCAGGGATGCGGCTCGTACTCTGTTGTTGGAGCTGCAATCCGTGTACGAGAAATCTAATGTCCTGAAACCAACTGCTGCTGTATCTGAGGATCCAGAGTTGGGTGCCTCTTGGGAAAATTTCTGTCAATCAAAGCTCTCACCTTTGAGTGCTCAAGCTGTCCTTCGTGTGACCAATATTACTCCAGAGGGACTTGTTTTGGGTTCATAACATTGGTACTCGACCAACACAAGCTTTAGAGAGTATTGTCCTTTTCGTATTGCCCATATTCGTTATTGTATACTTGTATATGCCATGAAAGTTTGAGATGTTCGGGAAGGCGGTTGACGCATTTCGTTGGGCTATAGATCCTACAGTAGCATTGGAATATGATTACCATTTATTGTTAGTTATGGGCGCCAATTAACCCTGAAAGGCGATTTACGTTCATTCGTGACTCTGCACTGTGCCCATAATGATTTCTTTCCCATTGAATTATATTGGCGTGCTGTAATATGACTATATTTTTACATTTTCTGCAGGCATTTTACAATAACATGACATAGGAAGCATAATTCCTCTGGCTATTTTCTTGTTAATACTCTAGGTTGCATTTTCTTGTTTCTTAAACTGGAATTTTTAAAATTATGGCCATCTCTATAAATCAATGTTTGCGCAGTTGCAGGATGAGACCGTATCAATATTATATTATCAATGCATCAAAAAATTCATTGTGGAGTTTTCTGTGATATTTCCCCAAATTCTCGCGATTCCGGTAGTGAGTGAACAAGGTTGATTATTAGTGTTACTACCCTAGGATTTTTGAACCTTTTTGATTATTAGTGTTACTATAAGTGAGTTTACATCTAACTAACCAACTATATACCATGTAGTTCAGTAAGGCTTGCCTTGTGGATTTATAGATACTTTGGTCTCTCTCTTCGCAAGCTGATACCCTTCTTGTGATAGAAGCTGACATAAGGAGGACTATGGCTCATGCAGTCACCCAACTTGAAAAATATAGGCCACCATTGACGTCTCTTTTGAAGAGCGCAATATCACTCATGAATTTATTTGCCTTGTGGTCTTATAAACACTTTAAACATACTTTTCTTACAAGTCTGTGTTAAGGATGATTTTTATCTGTATGGTTATTATTAATCCAAGATCTGTTCAATTTATACAACCAAAACTATACACAGCGAATTTACAGAAAACCTAAACCACTGGATTAAGATTTAGATCTTTATTTAAGCTCAGACCATACGCCCTTTCGAACCATCACAGAGGCACCGAACTCAGCAACACGAGCCCTCACAACCCCAAACACCAAGTCGCTTCACTGGAACCGAAAATGGACAGATCACTTCCAACAGTTACTCACACAAAGGAGACTAACACAAGGACACGATTATCACAAAGATAATCAATAGAAATTCTCACACAGAGAAGAAGAAAAAGTCACAAAGACGAAGCCCTTGAAGGTTCCAGAATACATAGAGAAAAAGAGAACAGAAAAATGACCATCCGAATCCCAAACAAAGCATAAGGGTCGAATTTATAGTAAAACCCATCCACCGTAGATTGAGTGGGTTAATCCAACGGTCCAAGATCGACTAGGGATATATGGGCTGAATATTGGGCTCGATTTAAGTAGGCCTGTTAGGTATATTAATAATGGACCATCTATTGATTTCATATTGGGCCTTTTTCATCACTGCCTATTAATTAGATTGATCAAATGGCATCACAGCCCAACAGATCTCCACCTTGATGCCAGTGATCATACAAGAAGCCTAATAAATGCAAAACACAATTTAAATGTCCTTCTCAAGAAGAAAGCTTCCCAGTATTTTCAACAAGCATCAACCTTAGCACTTGTACAGAACAAAACACTTAACCAACATCAATGTTCAAAATTCGTAAACAAGACTTAACTTGTTTAAAGGTATTACCTTAGTACCTACATCAGCTGGATTAAACTGGGTTGCAATTTTCTTTAGTAAAATAAGTTCTTTAGAAACAACATCTCTAATAAAATGCAACTTAACATCAATGTGTTTGATTCTTTCATGAAAAACAGGATTTTTACATAGGTGAATTGCACTTTGACTATCTGAATATAAAACAATAGGGTTACTCAATTCATTTATTTCAGATAACAAGCCCTTAAGTCATAAGCCTTCTTTTATTGCTTCAGTTGCAGCAACATACTCAGTTTCAGTAGTAGATAAAGCAACAATAGGTCGAAGTTGAGATTTCCAACTAATACATGTATTACACAAAGTAAACATATAAGAAGTAGTAGATTTCCTATTGTCTCTATCTCTGGCAAAATCTGAATTTACAAAACCTTTAAGTACAACACCTTCATTACAGGCACTAAAAATCAAACCAACATGTGAAGATCCTTTCAAGTATCTCAACAGCCATTTAAGAGCAACCCAATGGTCAGGTCCTGGATTGGCCATAAATCCACTAAGTGTGCTAATGGAATGAGCTACATCAGGCCTAGTACATACCATAATGTACATAACAGAACCTACGACATTAGCATAGGGTACATTTTCCATTTGTCTAATGTTAGATTCATGTACAGGACATTGCTCCTTACTAAGTTTAAAATGGCTGGCCAATGGAAATGAAACAAATTTAGAGTTATGCATGGCAAACTTAATCAACATTTTTTCAATATATGCATTTTGCTTCAAGTACAGTAACTTATGGTGCCTTTTCCTAGTGATTTCCATTCCTAGAATTCTCTTTGCATGTCCTAGGTCTTTCATTTCAAATTCAGCACTTAAAGATCGTTTTATCTGATTAATAACATACATATTCTGACCAATCAGCAACATATCATCCACATAAAGAAGTATAAAAGCAACAATAGCATTTTCATCATTTCTTTTAAAATAAAGACAATGATCATATTCACTTCTTATGAAACCAATAGCAGATACAAAATTATCAAACCTTTTGTACCATTGTCGTGGAAATTGCTTTAAACCATATAATGATCTTTTTAACAAACACATATGATCAGAATTAGTTTCATCAATAAAACCAGGTGGCTGCCTCATATAAATCACTTCATCAAGGTCACCATGCAAGAAAGCAGTTTTCACGTCTATTTGTTCAAATTCAAGATCATAATGAGCAACAAGAGCAAGCATAACTCTAATTGTTGTGTATTTTATCACAGGTGAAAATATCTCATTATAGTCTATGCCCTCTTTTTGCGTAAATCCTTTCGCTACAAGTATAGCCTTAAATCTTATGGGCATCTTTTCAGTATTTCCCTCCTTAACACTAAAGATCCACTTGCAATCAACAAGGGTCTTACCTGCAGGTTTAGGAACTAAAGTCCAAGTCTCATTTTTCATTAACGAGTCCATCTCATCTATCATAGTAGCAAGCCATTTCTCAGACTGCTTGCTGCTCATTGCCTCTTCATAAGATTTTGGTTCTTTAAAAATTAAGTCTTGATAGGACAAAACAGCAAGTGAAAGGTAATCCCCATACCTAACAGGCTCTCTAACTTCTCTCCTAGTCCTATCTCTAGCCAATTGGTAATCTCCCAATTCATAAGGTTGACTTTCCAGATTTTCTTGAACACTTTCCTCTTCATTTTTTAGAGAACCAGAAGCTATTTCAGCTTCATCATCCACCTGTTCATCACTAACAAGTTCAGTAGGTAAGCCAAGCTCCACCTGCAACTTGGTATTATCACCCCTTTCATCACCAGATAGCCTCTTTGGCTCCTTATTTTCTAAATAAGGCATTTTTGACTCATCAAAGGTCACATCTCTGCTGGTGATGATTTTAAAACCTTTTACTCCAAAGCCTATAACCTTTAACCCCATCGGGATATCCCAAGAAAACACATTTTTGGACCCTAGGTTCAAGTTTTCCTATACTCTGATGGGAATAGGCTGTACAACCAAAAATTCTTAAATGAGAATAATCAGGAACATGTTCTGTTCATAGCTCTTCTGGGGTTTTATCACTTAGAGCACTTGAGGGGGTCCTATTAACAATATATGAAGCTGTCATTACAGCTTCACCCTGTAACATCTTAGGGACACTTGAGCCTATCAACATGCACCTAACCTTATCTAGCAAGGTTCTATTCATCCTCTCAGCCACTCCATTCTGCTGAGGCGTATAAGGTACTGTTTTATGCCTTTTAATACTAGATTCTTTCCACAACTGATCAAATTCAGAATTGCAAAAGTCAAGGCCATTATCCGTCCTAAGTATCTTAATTTTCTTCCTAATCTCATTTTCAACCAGAATCTTCCAAGTTCTGAATTTCTCAAAGGTTTCAAATTTGTGTTTCAACAAATAAATCCAAACCTTCCTAGAGTAGTCATCAATCAAGGATAAGAAATATCTATTTCCTCCTTGAGTGATAGTGGATGAAGGTCCCCACAAATCAGCATGTATATACTCAAGGGTAGAAGTGGTTCTATGTTTTTCTGTGTTAAAATGCAACCTATGCTGCTTTCCTAAAGTGCAGTTTTCACAAAAAAATACATTAGATATAGAGACCTTCCCAAACACACCTTTCTTATAAAGGATGTGTAGACCCTTTTCACCTACATGGGCCAATCTCTTGTGCCACTTTAAGGTAGCATCAGCTTCTACACTAGAAGACTCACCTATGTGATCAAACACTGTACTAGCTTTGGTCACATAAATCCCATTTCTTTTAACATCTTTAAAAATAACAAGTGATCCTTTTATCACTTTCAAGAAACCATCTCCTATTTTTCCTTGCAATCCCATATCATCTAGATTTCCCATGGAAATCAGATTCCTATTTAATTCAGGAACATACCTCACCCTTTCAAGAGTGTAAATGTATCCATTATTGAATTTCAAAGTGACATTCCCAACTCCCTCAACTCTGCAAGCTACATTATTGCCCATAACCACTTCTCCTCCATCAATTTTCTTAAAATTGTCTAAATATGCCTTCTTAAAGGTCATATGGAAGGTACAACTAGAATCCAAGATCCATTCTTGATTCTGATTCTCATCAACAACATTTGCAGAGCTAGGTAAATTTTCAGTCACAGCATATACATCAACTGTGGCAGAACTTTTAGATTCTACCACATTACCTTCATCAACACCCTAAGTTTCTGCTCATTTTTCTTCTTATAACAGTTTTTAATAAAATGTCCAGATTTTCCACACCCATAACACTTTTTAGTCCTAGTCCTTGACTTAGACCTGCCTCTACTTTTAAACTTTCTCCTACTGTTGTTTCCCTGATTATTATGACTTTCCTGAGTACTACTAGACCTACTTAAAGTCCTCCCTCTAGCAAACAAGTTTTCATGGCCACTATTACCTCTCTCAGATTTAAGTTCAAGTTTCTTACTTCTTAAAGAGTCTATGACAATATCAGGTGTAAGAGTATCTCTACCATACTTAATGGCGACTTTAACCTCTTTGTAGGCTTCAGGTATAGTATTAAGTAGTACTACAGCCTTATACTCATCAAAAATTTTCTCACCTGTATTAATAATGTCTTGAACTAACTTATTAAAAATGTCTAAGCTATCTTCTAAGTCTCTAA